CCAACCACTTTAAAGATCTAATGCTTGCAAGAAACTCTATATCAATCTGGGTGCTGATATCCATTACCCTCTGTTTAAATATTGCCTTGGCCTGGTATCCAGCTGAAAGTAGATATTAGGTGGATAGCCTGTGCTGCAAGATAACTTTAATAAGTTGGTTTATCCATGTGGTAAGCTGAATCATAGCTATCTGACCTTCTAAGCACATTTTGCATAGCTGCCAAGGTTCATTAGGAGAATCCTCCTCCAGTAGCTAAAGACTTGAATTGTTGAGTGGCTGTGTACAGGGTAGATACCTGTTTCTGCTCTAACCGCGGAGCATCAGAAATATATGCAACTGTTAACATATATCAACTATTATTTATACAGTATATGATAAGATGATCCAGATACTAACTGAAGATAGTATGAAATGAATCACACTATTTGTTGTTCATGCTAAAACTAACACAGAGCTATAATCTGGTGCTTGGTAAATCCATGGATTCAAATGATACCTCCATTGGGAATTATGCCAAGCATTTTGCTCCCTGTCTAAAAATCACATTAGTTCTCTTGCTACAGGAGCATATGTTTACGTATTTGCACTCTGCCAAGTACTAATGTAGGTTCTGAGCAGCTCTTTGCATGCGCGCGCGCATGTGTGTGTGTGTTTGTCCTTCACACTGTAAGCTGCACAGTAATAATAATAGAAAAATGAAAAACAAAAACGTTTATCTGGCAGAGAAGCTGATCTTCAGTTCCCAGTGGCCAAGAATCTTGCATTACTTCAAAAGCAGGATCTAGAATCTCTGAAAGTTACATTAGCTTTATATAGTGAGCTTGGAAAGATGTTGCTAATTTACATATTGAGTTCTCTATGGGTGGCATGGTTAGAATATTTTCATGACTGATAAGATCAGAGTAAATGATTCTGCAAGGAGTTTACTTAGCTTGTGCAGCTCTTGGACAGCAGGGCGCATGAAGTAAGTATCAAGATAGCATTTTTAATTCCTTGGGGCATAACTCTGCTTCAGTTATTCTGGAAAAAAAAGTCTAGAAATTCCAAGATGTTAAAACCATTAGGAATATTTCTCTCCACCTTTAGGTAATAATATCAAAAGAGAGGTTCAAAAATTATGTTGGAAACAGACAGTAGCTAACATCAATTATGGGTCTTTATTAATGTGGCTCTTTACATTGAATGACCTGATAAATGGAACATTTTTCTTTTTTTCAGAACAGATTTTATCTTATCCATATGATCCACATAGTTCCAAAAATGAATCAGTCTAAACTATCATTCTAGCAGATAGTTATTTCTAACAGGTCCAGAAAAATTGTAATTATTTCACTTGAGAAGGTTGAAACTTTACTTTGTAACCTGTATAATGCATATCCAATAAGATAATCTTATGAATATATAACACACATCAGTCTAGTAGTGCTCAGCTTTAAAAGTGACCTACCCACTGTTCCAGTGGGGAGTAAAAGTGGGATAACTCTGGTGAACAGGACACACAAACACATAGATTTCCCTTATAAGAGCTGGAAAAGCTGGATGATCCAAGCTGAAGAACCTTGTAATGTATTTATTATTTGTAAATTATATTGACATTGGGGAATACAAAACTTTAGCATTCTTTCTTTCCAAATAGATCTTGAACAACCAACTGAAAGGCAGTTTGGTAAGTAGCTTAATGCATCTTTCCGACCAGGCAAACAATGTAATGCAGAGATGACAAGATCCAACTCAAAAGCCTTCCCCAACCTGTTTTCAAGGAATAATCAGAGGTCCTCCCATTATCCAAAAATTCACTCTTCAATACCAGATGACTCCATGTGTACCCTTATCCAAAGCATAAAGAAGCAGAGCAGTGTGGTTCTGGCCAAGCTTTTTTTAAACAAATCAGCATTTTCAATATTTAACCATGAATTAAAAGAAGAATTCTGTGAACTAAAATAAAAAAATCCTGTATCTGTAAAAATGCAAACTTTGATTTGAATATCCTATTGCAATCTGATGGAGTCTGCATATCTAGCCAGCACATATATCATCTAACCCAAATCTCCTTGTTTCATGTTTTGTGGTGCCACAGTAACCTTCATAATTCCATGATTTGGACTGTAGCTTCCTCCCTCTCAATTTTGCCTTTGCTTAGCAGTAAGCAAATAAGTAAACAAATAAATTCTATTCTAGGCATACACGTATGTGATTAATTCATTAAGTACAGTTGCTGTATTAAGCAATATACACGATCCTTTATACTGTAGGTTGATACCTTCATCATTCTTTCAAGAATTATTGAAGTTTGAAAATAGTCCATTGTTTAAAAAAGAAAATTGCTTTCTTTTAACTTCAGCACTCCTAATAGCTAGATCAAGTAATTAATTCAGACAAGGTTAATTTCTTGCTTCCATTACTTGTTTGAGATTTGGCCTTCTGTAGAGGGTGTTTAAGCCCATTCTGGGAAAGGTTCCACTGGAATTTGATTCGTTGTTTGGCAAAGAACATTATTTATAAAAGGGATTTAAGTATAGACCTGAACAACAAAAGGTCAGTGTATTTCCTTAGCAGAGCAAAATGCAAACTATTTGCATGATGCTACATGAAAGGTCATCATTGCAATGGGAAGTAACTGGGCTACTGCAGTTACGTTAAACAAATGTAGCCATTGATGGAATTTGCTCCTGCAAATTCAAAATCTGTAACAATCAGTCTTCCTCCTGCTAGTGTATCAATTTGGGTCTGTCAACTTTGTGCAAAGAAAATTTAAGCTGGGTGAGAGTTCTTCCATTATGCTGCTATGGAGAGATCCCCCTGTCAGCTACCTTAAATTCTTGGAGGGAAGGCAGAATATAAATCTAAATAAATAATAAGGAAGGATCAATCTACAGACTGTAATAGTGCATGTGATTTCAAAGTGATGCTTATGTGACTTTAGACAGATGCAAGAATATAGATCTCATAATTAATACTCTGCTACATTAAAACATTGAGTAAATGAGAGAAATAGCATTACATGTCAAAATGTTCTAAACAAGCCTTCTTGGGCTGATCATTCGGTTTTGGTTTTTATTTAACGAGGACAACACAAATATGCCATTGCTTCCCTCAAATGATAGGATCAGAACTCAGATGTCAGCACAGAACTATGTAAATCACCTCTATTGTTATTGTTGTTGTTACTGTTTATTATTTTTCTGCTGCTATCCAAACGCGCCGTTGATCTTGCTGTTCGTCACCGAAGACAAATTTCTTGTATGTATTTTATACTTGGTCATTAAAGTATTTTGTATTTTTGCATTTTGT